AGGAATGCTGTAGTGCCTTCTGATCTGGTCTCTCATCGAATTGACTGATGGCTGCTCTCCTTCTCCACTCAAGTCGCAATGTAGAGGATCTTGTTATACATAACAACTTATCTTTCCTAAAATGGTGAGCTTTGAATCACATAAGAGAAGCTTTCTTTGCAATCATCAGGGCAGGTTAATTAACTTCTAAAGCCATAGAAAATAAATGTCATCTTTTAAAATTAATATTTATATGTCATTTATACTAAAGCTACTCATATGTAGTTTATACCAAAGCCACAGAACTACTGCGATGATCTGATCCATTTGTGATCTGTTCAAGTTTTCACAGCAAATGTGATAATTTTATCCTATTAGAACTTGCTTGGAGTTAAGGGTGGATGTATCAAGGAAGTTATGCTGTGTATATTTATTCAATTAATTTGAAAAGAATGAAAATGCTAAACCACTCCATTATTATGTGTATAGAAACTGAGGCTAGAATTTAATTACTATCGCTGTGTTGATGACCCAGATGCTCAGAAAATCTTGCTTAATTAACAATCTGGTTTTAGTTGCAAGTGGAAATTCAAGTAGAAAAGATCCACAAAGATATGAGGAAGAGCTGGTTTGCCATTTTCCACTAATAGGTATTAATAAGGTCATCTGAATTTTGAAAAACATTTGAACTTTAAAGTGTTTAATTTCCATTCTGTGAACAGGTGCTAAGATTTATCATAAGTCATTATCTGATCATTTCAGAAACTCTCCTCAATGGAAACACAAGCTAGGAAGATAACAGTTTTTCTTGCATAACTGCAGTAGACAAAGTGAGCAGAAAAAGAATGTCTTTCACTTAACTAATTTCCAGGAATTAAAAAAACTAAAGGAGGTAGGATACTGCGAACACTAGATGCTAAAAATCGAGGCATTTGAATAGACTTTATGCAGTAGGCAGCTAGGCACAATAAAAAAAGGGAAATACAGAGGAGAATATTAAATTAGTATATATCAAAGACCAACATCCCACTGCTCTGTATTCCAATAAAGTGTCATTGTACGTACAGCAATTTCAATATACATAGCAATCTATGCTATGAAGTGTTACAAACACCCACAGGTTACACCCAACATAAAAGGTCTCCAAGCATTACCTTAGAGCTAAAGAGCAGCCAAGACCATGGTTTGACAGTACAGGAAAGTGGCTTCACATCTTTATGTACTACATCAAAATCCTACATTCATGTGTTATGAGATGGCAATTCAATATAAACCCGTTCTGCCAGTTCACATTTGTTTAAAGGTTAATTCATGTTGCAGCAAAATTCATTTGCTCTCCCACAGACACCCTGGAAGCCTAAAGATGGTATAATTCCTGCACTACAGCTAATTGGTAGAAAAGAGATAATGTACTCAACCCTGATCAGGATCAAACTTGGGCGGGTAAATGATCCAGCCACACGCAGCCCATAAGGATGGTAGATTCATCCCTCAGGGGAAGCAGAGAGAGTTTATATCAGGTGTGAAAGTTTCCAGTTAACTCACTTTTCCTCCATGTCTGAGTAATATTTAATAAAAGAGAGACCCCAGATTTTGGGCCGATACCTGCAGAATCTGAGTGAAACAGTTGCTCCTGTTCTCGCTGCTCACCATGATTTTCAGACTATTTCCTGACCTCCAGAAGGAACTTTCCAAAATTAAATAACAGATCATACCTATCTCTGTAAGGCACCTTGAACTCTAGGATGCACTGTATTGTCAACTCTGACTGGTAAGTAGAATTATTAAGTAACATGAAAAATTCATTGTGAAGCATCTGTTGGTAGTTCTATGCTATATCAATTTTTTGTTGACCATATGCAAAGCTGTTTCCTTACTAAACTAGGGTTTAAAAAACCACATTGTTCTGGAAGGTCCATACCATGTCATTGTTTTTCCTATCAATATAACTTACAGGATACAAATAATTGCATCTTTCCTAACAAGTTATTCAGCAACTGGTAATTTATGTGGCATGTTTCAGACAAAGGATTATTATCTAATTGTTTTTCTGCTGAGTTATAAATAACTAAAAAAATCCAAACAACTAAGCCTAGAGTGATATGCAAGTGCCAACGTTTAACAAATGCAGTGTAACTACAATACACTTTATTAGAGGTGCCAGCTCATAGTAAGCATATGAGATGAAAGTTTAAACCTCATTTTCTTTTGCCATAAAGACATGCTACCAGGTTTTTTTATCAAGTATGAATGTAAAAACAACCAAAAAACTAGGAACAACAACAACAACAATCCCTTAAATGATGCCTGCAGAAGTTGCATACAAGATTGGATTAAAGAGGAAAATAGAATTATCTCCAGGGCAAGAGAATATTTGACATAGGATATTTGAAAATGATATGAACAGAGAAGAACAGAAACAAATGAGAACCAGAATATAGCCTCACTTATAGATTAAGAGGTAGTGAGAACACCTTTACCCTCCATTACATTTATCAAGTAGGCTATTTTAAATACATGATTGAGCAAAGGCTGAAATTTCTCCTTGGGTTCAGGACACAAGTAGTGTGTCAATTTTTCCTTTGCTTATTACATTATCAGCTGCAATGCATACACAGTTATTTTTAATGTCTTGTATGCAATAATAAAAAACATCAGCAACCAAATGCTTTATAATGCCTTGCGATAAAAAAGAAACAAAATAGAAACTGAAATACAATGTGTTAAAATAAAACCAAAGTATTTGCCAGCAGATAAAATAATCACATATCATGTAGAATTTCATTTCAAATTCCACCAATTAGGGGAACAAGATGAAAAGGACTTTGCACTAAATTACTGTAAGTGCAAGAGTAGAATATATGGCAATTTAGCTCAGAAAAATTCTGTAAGAGTGTGACAGTTGACATGCAGGGTAAAAGAAAAAATTCCACCCATAAAATTACAGTGTAAAGGAAACTGTTACAGTAAATGTATAATATGCTTTTCAAATATGGATTCACAGCACAGGGAGGATATAGAATTAGAGTGGTTTGGGTCAGAAGCCTTGTTGCTGAATTCTGAGTAAGCTGGAGTCTGCCAATCGATTTGGCTCCAAGCCCAGCAAACCAAGGAATTACAGTAGTCAAGGCTAGATGCTGTAAGTGAATGAATTAGAGTCTCCAGGTCAGTTTTGGATAGGAAAGAGAACATTTTTGGCAACAGGCCTGAAAGGCATTTGGTGATGCACTGAACAGATCTTAGCATTAAGTCCAAGGCTAAAATTGCAAATAGGTGAATCACATGTGACATCAATAAGAGAAACAGTAGACAGATTGCAGAGTAATGAAAGTAACTTTTTTTTTTTTTTTTTAATTAATCTGGGCCAAACCCTCAGTCTTTTGGTTACGATACCGTCTACTTTCAGAAAATAACTTGCCCTTCACACATTTACAGCTGAAACCCTGCAGCCCCTCTGTGTTACTCAATTCACATGCCACAGAGGGAGAAATAAATGTGATTGCCATTAACTGGCAGAGGAGGAAAACATGAAAGTTGGAAATAACACCCTGGAGAAGACTGCAGATAATATAAGGGATGGGTCCTAAAGTAAAGCATACCTCTAGTCATCAGCTTATGCCATTAGAGATTTGTATAATGAAGACAAACTTGCAAAATGACTCATCTGCCACAAACAAATGGCATCCTTGTCTAGTTTTGGTTTTGTGGGGGGGGTTGTGTTTGTTTTCTTTTTAAAATCAAAACAAAAAAAAAAAAAGAAAAAAATCCATGGGTATAAAAAAGAAGGTGAATAGTGGCAGCAGCTCCATCAGAGAAGAGGAGGTTACTGTTTGGTCTGCTTGCTGTCTAGGTGGCTGTAGGTTCCTTAAGACACAGTCTTAAGACATGGAATGATAAAGGAGAAGACCACA